TTAGACGAATTTTATTTTCTTCTTCAGGTTTAACTAAGTCAAGCATCTAAATTCAAATACAAATAAATTTAATTAAAAAGTTGTTGTTTTTTGTTTTTCAATTCATACTTGACATATACAATCTTCAAATGGCATATATTCAATACCATAAATTTCCATCTTATGTACTTGTTCTTGATAGAAATAATCTAATTCAAACATTGATAATACACCATCACCATCTAAATCCATACAACGAAACCAATATTCAATACTAAAATAAATATTTAAAAAAATGTTGTTTTTTTTTTTATATTATTTTTAGAAATTTATATAGTACCTTGTTGGTGAACGTTTATCTTCTTCTGATATAAGAAACCATACAAATTCATAATATGACATTTTTCCTTCTCGCATATTTTGACTACTGCAAAAAAAAAAAAAAAATATTTTCTTATCGAAAAAAAATTCCAATCAATAGATTACTTTGATATAGCACCCGAAAATATTCGATCGATCATTTTATTTGAAATAGCTAAAGAAAAAAAAAACAATCAGAATTATTTAAATAGATATTATTATTATTTACCGCCATTATTATGTTTAGCTAAATCATCACGACTTATTAATAAATCATGATCAGAATCTAATTCCCAAAATTTACAATAAATTACATAAAAATGTTCATATGAAAAATAATCATGAATACGATTAATATCTTCTTCTTCTTCGATTCGATCGAGAGTCTTAAATAAATACAAAAAACAAAAATATTAATTTTTCATAGAAAATTTGTCCTAGAAAAAAAGAAGAACTCAACAATATCTTAAGTATAATACATTACAATCAGTGTCAAAAGAGATGAATGATAGAAATACTCCGTCGTTGTTATTTGTATCAGAACTGATACAAACGTCTGTCATAATCAATGAGAGTCCAATGTTTTCTTCTTCTTATAGAACTCAACACTTATTAACACCTAGACATCTGATATGAGAGATAAATATATATATATAGCACAAATAATCATTTTCTTGTAGAACTCATTTTTAACGTTATTATTAACTTTTAGCACCAATATTTTTATGTTTGTTGATATTAATTTTGATAAAATATTTTTTGATAATTTATAAAATAAATTCTTACCGAAAGAAAATTTGATCGTCTTAATTCTGGTACAGTTAATTTTCCTGACCATGATCGATTACAATTATAATAAATTCTAGCTACAACAGTTTTAATATATCTTGAATGAAATTCTCGTGCTTCACGTAGAAATTTCAAACCAGGATGTGTATCAATAATATCTTGTATTAAATAATCCCAATCATCAACTGTTAAATATTGACGATTGGTTGGTAATGATGATGGTGATGATAGAACAAGTAGATGAACAAATTTTGATGCATTATCATGATGATTTTTACATAATCTAAAAGAAAAATTTTTTTTTTTGTATAAATAAGAATTATTTAAAATATATCAATACTTCTTCCAAAAAGATTCAAATTGTGAATATGATACAGTTGTATTCGATGTAATAGTTGTTTTTTGTCCTAATGCATCTTGTACACATGCTCGAAATAATGGTGTTTTCCAATATAAACTTAAATCAACTAACTAAAAGATAATAAGAAAAAAAAAAATTTTTTTTTATTTAATTTTTTACGAAAATAATTATCAATTTATTTTCTCATACTTGTGCTAATTTTCCAAAATCTTCTAAATGTAATTTATCATGTTTTGGTATAAATAATTCTTCTTTAACTTGATGTAATTGTTTATTAATTAATGTATCAATTGCTGTTGTTGTTGTTATTTGACCATTAGGAAAATGAAATTTAGGAATAGTTTCAACTGGTTTTGATGTTTCTTCAGGTTTACTAACTGTTTCTGGTATGGGTGCAACTTCTTTGACAGTTGTTGTTGTCGTTGTTGGTGTTGGTGTTGTTTTTGATGGTATAGATGTTTGTCGTTGAGCATTTTCATTTGGTAATGATGAAACAGGTGATTTTGCTCGTGATGGAGTTTTTGCTTTTGTAATTGATGGTGAATGTTCAACAATATCAAAATGTTCACGTAAAGAAGCAACACCACTACCAATTGGTTTAGGTGATGTTGGTGTTGGTGATAGATCACGAATAACGGTTGATGGAGATTGTGAACGAGGTTGTAATATAGGTGTTTGTTGGGTTGGTTTTGATATTGTACCATTTGATGGTATAGCTGTTGTTGCTGTTGGTGTTGTTGATGCTCGATTTGGAACAACACTTGTTGAAGTTGATGGTGAAGTTGGCAAAGGTTCTGATTTAGCTACTTGAGATGGTGATGCTTTTCCGCCGGATACCTAACAAATAGGAGAAAAAAAGGATTTAATAAAATAAGATAAAAAAAAAAACCTTAAATTCATATTGAGTTATCTAAGTTTTATGATCGATTTCTGAATGAATTATGTATAAGAGAAAACAAACTATATGTCATGTAACTACCTCAGAAATGAAGAAAGCCGATCGATGTTGCTGATCGGGTATAGTAGATTGTCCTACTATTGCTTGTGATTTAAGTGGCCATATAGCCTCTGGATTGATAAATTTTTGTCGAATTTGTTGTTGTATATGTTGCTGTATTTGATCAGCTGGATAACGTTTTTCAAAAACAAAATTGATGTGTGATTTGGGAATTTTTGGTGATATCGATATACGTGCCAATGGTGTCGAAACAGGTCGACAAAAGCCTGTATGGATTTAAAAATATGTGTTTTTTTTTATGGTTGTTTTTTTGTTATCTGACTCAGAGAGACAGATAATAAAAAAAATAAATCTTTAGATTTATTTATTTTTTATTTTTTATTCTACCTTTATGAATAGCATCACAATAACGACCATAATATCGACACTGTTCACAGAAATGTATTGCCCGTCGGCGTTTCTGATCAATTCGTATATTAAAATAAACTTGTGTGGTCGAACGGACCACCTGACAAGGTACACTAGTCATTGTCATATTCTTTGCATCTAGAGTGTAAGAGGAAGAATAGTCTTTATGACTTTCGTTTGATTCTACTCTTTCTCATCTACATGCGCATATAACAAATTGTTTCTTTTTTTCGTTTTTTTTTTTTACGTGATTCATTTTGACTCGTTCCATCTCTTCCCTATTCTCTCTTTTTCTTTCGTATACTCTCCGTTTTAATGCTTAACACTTGTGATAAGCTTTGTGTATGTGTACGTCGGCGAACCGCAAAATCGACATGAGTGCCGACCCACCTCTTACTTACTACTTCATTTATGAGTCGAGAGAGTTGAGAGAATGAATAAGCTAAAGATGAAAGTAGAAAGAAAAAATAAACAAAATCGAAGAAAAAAAAAAGAAGAAAAATTCGACCGTTATGTTCGTAATAAAAAAACAGAATGTCGAAAGTAAAAGAAAGAGAAAAAAAAGAGAAACAAAAATGAATGGTTGTATGAAATATCTAGTCCTCTTTTTAAATATGCCAACAACCGTAGTCTATATAGTGATATCAAATACCAATGTGTGAATAATCATTGCGTAGGTGGCAAACTGAATGTATATAAATATATATGAATGTGTTGGATACAAAATCTAGACATGTCAAATATATTTTACGAGTGTACTATTATTTGTTACTTATGTATATATTGTCCATGAGAAAAAAAAAGAGTAAATGTATAAAATTTCAATAGTAAAACAAAAAATTGTCATATACTTATTTTAATTTATCCAAATCAGTTGTTTTTTGACCTCTTTTGCTCGGTCTCTACGAGTTTTTTTTCTTGTTAACTGCCTGTCTCTATTAATATAGATCTTTACCCTACAAACATTCTTCTATCCTCAATACATATACACAACGATATACTAAGTCAACAAACAACGAATATGACGATTCTTCTTTCTCTCTTTTTTCCTCATCTTCTCTATCATGCTGTCACCGACTATTGCTCTCTCGAGGATATCTACGACTAATGGTACCATTCTTGTTGGCGATAGATTTTTTTTCTCGCATGTACGACACATACATATGATGTAATGGATGGATAACAAAGATGGAAAAAGAGAAAAAAACAGAATACATGGCAGTTACATCCGTATGTTTCTTCTTCTTCTGCTTCTTCTATGGATACCAATAACTTTCTTATTACGAATGCGACAAAGCATAAAAGAAAGAAAAAAAAACCCTTACTTGTTGTTGATCTATGCTGCCGATTGTAGTAATACTAGGAGTCGTACCACCATTGACTATTGGATATTTTTTCTTTAATGAACGTTGTTTCCGTTCATCACTACTACCAGTTAAACCAGAAGTATTTTCACCAGTTGATGGAATAGAAGATAAACCACTACGTGGACTTGAAGCTGTTCGTGGTACGGGCGAAACAGGTGGTGAATCGAAATGTTGTGGTTTGGAAAAACCCCCACCACGTGTTGTATAAGTCTATGTAGAACAAAAAAAAAGAAGGCGACCCTATATTAATAAGTATTCTACTTCGAATTGCAGAAAATTTTTAATGTTAAATTACACACAAACCTTTGGATATATAATAGGATCAGGCATTTTACTATTTGTTCGAACACTCTGCAATGCAGCATAAAGTGTCGTACGTGTATCTGCTAATGAAAGCCATTGCAAAAATAAATCATTAACCATCTTTGTGATGGGTATTGATGTATTTGACGTTGTTGTTGTATTGTTCATTTTGTGTATATATATATATATATTCTATATTAAACAATTACAAATTAAATGGACGGCATTTATATCTAGAAGATGAAATTAACTGAAGATCGTTCTTTTTCCTTTTGGTTTTTTTTTTTTTTTGTTTGTTTTGAAACATAAAAAAATAAAAACACAGAAATAATTTTCCATCAATCCAATAGAAAAAAAACAAAACAAAACACAAGCGAAAAAAAAACTAAAATTCACTTTTATTATTTTGTTCTACACAAAATCATATGTATATATTTATTTGAAAAATCACCAGAATGAAAAGAAAAAAAAAATATTAAAATTCATCGCCATAAAATGAACTTCGACGAAATATCCATTTATCAGCATTGTTATCCGTCTTTTCAATTACTGTCATCTAAATAGAATTTTTAAGAAAAAAAAAAAAATAAAAAAAAAACAAAAAAAAAAAAAATTTTTATTTTTTTTTTTTATAAAAGATTTATTTACTGTAAGAAAATCAACATTTCGAATAACATGTGGTAATGTATCAGGACGAAATTTTCCACCACATAGTTTACGTGTACATGTTTCTAAACTTGGAGCATGTGCTAAATAAAAAATATTTTATTTTTCAAAAATAAAAAAATAACAACAACAACAACAACAGTTTTAATCATACCAACAAATAAAATATGACAATATTGTTGTGGTAAGATTTGTCCTTGTTGTATTTGTGTAATAAATTCATGTTCATGCATTTTAAGTATACTTGCTGTAACAGCATGACTACGTTGATAAAATTCTAATTCATTTTCAAGTTGAGATATGTCAGCCATCGTCATTTGTTCACGATAATTTTTATCAATAGGATATTTATTCTCCAAAAGTTCCTTTTTTGTCATAAATCTAGGCATTGTTACAACAGTACTTGTTTCACTTGCTGTATACCAACCAGTACATTCAAATAAACCTGGTTCAATACTATTTTTTTTTTGTTTTTTTTAGAAAAGACAAAAACAATTCATTTGTGTTTTTGTTCTCTGAAAGATATTTGATTAAGAAAATTCTTACCGAATTTTGATTTTATTCTGTAATTGTAAACCTTCAAGAAGTTTTGCTGCTGTTTGCACACAGCGAAGTGATGGAGATGCATAACAATAAGTAATATTAATTGCTTTTTCTCTTAATACAGTTCCTATTTGAAAGAAAATTATGAAACATATATGAAAATATATAAATGAATATGTTCACCTGTATGAAAAGCGTCTTTAAGACCCTTATAAGTAAGTGGTGGATCAAGATCAAAATCACGAATCGAAGCACGAAATGGTAATGCTTCTCTAGAGAAGAAGAATCACATAAATAGATTTCTAAAAAATAGGAAAAGTATTTTGCCAAAAAAGAAAAAGAAATCACTTTAATTTTGTTGATTTCTTAGTAGACATATATATATATACGTTGGATCATTTTATTGTATTTCAAAATATTTTTTATAGAAGGTTATAGGACATTTTCTCGATAAAATTCTGACTATCATGTCGATTATAAAATCAATCAGATATTTTTTTTCACACATCATTGACATTTTAACCTAGTTATATTGCTTTTCATTTTATATTAATCAAGTCCCGTGTCCAATTATAAAATCGAGTAAACAAAATTAAAATAAACATATCTTGAAAACTTACGGTAAAATAGGGGAAAATCGACAAAAATTTCCATCTTTGTCAAATGCTTGTCTTAACCATTGTGATGAATAATATCGATCAAGCCGTTCACCATGTCGAAGTACTAATAATCGTATTGGACCTTGTGTAACAGGTAATGGACTCAATGGTGGATAGGCTGTACCACGCTGTTGATCGATATTTAATGTTAAACTTTGCGATGGATTGTTCACGCGTGTTCCTGTATTTCCTTGAGTTTTTGATGTAGTTGATGATGATTTAAAGATTTTTTGTATCAATTTTCGTACACCATGTTTTTCTTTTGTTTCGCTAGGAATGGTATTTGATGATGCTGAACTCGATGATTGCTTTGAAGCAGTACTAACTTTTGGCGATATAAGAGGAGGAATATTCATACTTGATGTGCGACTACTGATTCGAGAATTCGTACAAAGTTCATTAAATTCCATACCATGTGTAAAATTCGTCATAAATGAGAAATCTGACTCACGACGATCATCATCTATATCCGTATGCGAAGAATTTCTTGTGTGAAAATTTTCTGAATTATCAAATTCATCATCAATTGTTACAGTTGTTCTTGATGGAGATGTAATTACTTTACCAGATGATGTTTTCAACGATGATACACCTGAATCCGCATCGAAGTCCTAAGAATATTCAATTATTATAAATTATATTAATTCAAATGTTTAGAAACTTCTTCTTTTTTTTTTCTATATCATCTCTAAGAATATATTGTATTATTTCATCTTTGGTAATTTTTTTTATATTGAATAAAAAAAAACACTCTATTGAAATATATGACCCGATCTGAAATAATACATACACTTTTTTATTGATGTTTTTTATTTCTCTTTTTGATGATTTACAATTATTGATAGAAACTATTTTATAGAGAAATAATCTTCGTCAATGAAATTTAATGTAAGATAAACAAAAAATAACCTTTGATTCATTAATAAGATCAAGTTGTTCAATCCGTTCAATAATTTGTTCATATCGAGAAGCACTGTCTTCGGGTACTGATTGTTGTTTATTCGTACGACGAGATTTTTTTTGTTCCTGTTCTGGAGAAATAATCACGCTCTCCGTTTTCGTCAAACCATCTTCGCTCATACCTTGTCGTCAAATAATATTTGTTTCCTTTAAATATAAATAAATATTTTTAAATAAACAACTAGTACGTATAAAGAGAAAAAAAAAGAAATATATTATATATACTATTGACATTTTTATGATGAAGAATTAGAGAAAAAAAAAGCGAAGAAAAAAAAAAACGAAAATGTTTTTCTATCATTTTTATCAAATGATGATGTCAGAAATATTCATGATAAATGAAGAGTAGAAAAGAAAAACGTTAAACTATCAATACGAACGGAGCTTTTTTTTTTGCACCCTTCAACATAAGACATCGACAGTACATAATCAAAAGAGCACGCGAATATGTGAGCATATAAACTCAGTCATGTGAAGAGAGAAAAAAACATGCGAAACAATCATTCAAACGAGAAAAAATAAATCAAGGACTGTCTATTATAAAAAAATCTTTTACCTATCTCTTATGTAAACTAATAATGATTTGGTAACCTTTTGAATTAAAACCTACATAGATATGTTTTCGCATTATTTTCATTAGAGTTAATCTACAATTATTGGTCTTATCGAATAGCTATGAAAGAACAAAAATGGATTTTATATTTTAAACGATCTATTCCCTTTTCAAGTCATATCGGCTTTCGATTATACAAACTAATTTATATGTCGACATGGACGTCTATGTCAATTTTATAGAGGAAAAAACTGTCCTCTGCACGATTCAATACTCATGATTTATGTTTACCAATACGTGCAGACTTATAAACCAGAAAAATTTGAATTGAATATGAAATCATATAATTAAAAGACTGAGCAATAAATGTTTCCCTAGCAGGTTCTAAAATTTTTAGCAAACAAGTCTTTTAAAATTTGAATTGAAAACTATTTTCATATTGATATTTCAACTAGACTAATTTATCTAAATAATTTCAGAATTTTTCGATGCCACAAATCCAAGATTTAAATATCCCTATTTTATGAACGCTACGTAGAAAAAATTCTGAAATTTTTTAGACAAATCAATTGAGACATTGATCTGAAAATAGTTTGTGATTTCAATATAAATATTTATTTACTAAAACATCAAAGTCTTGCAGGAAAAATTGTATGTTTTCGTCTATTCATCACATGACCTCATATATTCTTAAGGTTTTTTAGTATAAACATGTCGTACTCATAGATAAAAAATAATTATTACTGCAACTAGTTACTTTCTTAAAAAATATTTTTGTTTTTTTTTTCATACCTAAGGGCATATATAAAAAATTGATTGATTGCCAATATTGAAGATATTGAAACGAAAGCATCTAAAATAGTAAAATAAATTCATTGTTAGGCACTTTTTTTTTGTTGTTATATTACGAACTCTAAGCAATTATTACTTATCGATAAATAACTTTAAAATGTAGAAAAAAAAGTTTGTAATAAAGGTGTCATACAGGTAAAAGAATATACTGTACAAAGAAAGAATTTTTTTCTTTTTCTATTGGTTATAAACAAGTCATGAAGTCAACTTGATAATAATGATGTCGCCTGTGAACAATCAGTTGATATAGGTTTGTTTAACATTCACAAAAGAACTCTCTTTTTCTTTCTCAAATATAGTTGTATCTTCGTGTTTTAGAATTATATAATAAATGAAACTGTTATTAACTTAAAGAACAATTTCATTTTTTTTTGGATCGTTATATTTTTAAACTTTCTCAATGAAATCCATACATATATATATGTCAACAGTTAAATTAATATGACAAAAAACATAATAATAGTAGTTCAATTGAACTGTATCTATTAATCATAAGACAACGAAAAGAAAGGAATAATAAGTACTACAGATTTTAACAAGCTTATCCATAATAGGCTGTAAACGTTTTCCGCTTGCTTGTGACAATGATTTCTTTTCATTAGCTTGTGCCCTTTTCTTTTAAATACTACTATCATGATGATATTTAAATGAAAGCACAAGATTATCTTTATAAGAAAGAAGGCAATGAAGGTGTGTATATCAAAATACCATGTCAATACGAAACATTTATTGATTTAATACAATATATATATATCTGTCGAGAATAGTCAAACAGAAAAACATTAACATTGTGAATGAATTTGATGATTTAGCTGCAGAAAATTTATCAAGTTCGAACATATTGCTCAAACACAAACTTGCATCTAGAAACAATAACGGTTAGTTAAAGAGTCCGATAAGATAATAACCAATGAGAAAATGCGTACAGTGACTTACTGAAATGAATAAATCAAGACAGAAAAAGAAATTGTTATCTTTTTATGACTAACATAAGAGGTTTTATTAATATGTAGATACTTGTACTTCCTGCTAGAAAAAATATAAAAAAAAACAGGCAGTCTGTCAATATCAAGCAGCTAGTTCCGCTTATGACAGGCTGAATGATAATGTTTTGCTTGATTATTGCATTGTTGATCACATTCACAATCACACTCACAAACATTACATTGCATCTAAAGTTTGCAGAGTAATAACTCCCCGTTCGGTATGGATGTGGATCTGGGTGTTTGTGGGTGTGAGTCTTTCTTCGAACACATCCACACTCACATGCACTTGTACATTCACACCCATACTCACACTTGTCCACACCCACACCCTCTAGAAAGTAATTTCTCAAACGACACTCTATGTGAGCAAGATGAAATACTGCAAAAATCGTTTATGTGGAATAAAACCGTTTTAATTGTGTAATCGGGTAGAATATGCTGGAATATATGTATAATAAAATTTTCCGATGTAGATGGCAAGCCGTTTCCGAGAAACAGATATTTCTCTAAATAGATAGAGTTAATGATCGGCCAACAAGATTCAAATGAAAAACACTTGTTTCTTTACGAAAAAAGTTCTAATAAGTTTTAAAGTTTTGGTTCCTAAGCAAAATAAGATGGGCTAGGTTTCGAACAGATATAGAAACCTCAATTGCGCAGCTCACTAGTGACTCAGTCGGGAAGAAAAACGATTTTGCAATACGATTTGATCACGATTTATTTCATTGTTTTCATTTGTTATTTGAAAATTAGAAAAAAAAAAACTTATTATTTACAGTTATTAATTCTTAACTGTAAAGTTAAATAATTGAAAAGAATAGTGTACAAAAATTAAATTTGTTCGTTAGTATTATCAGATGAAGCGTGTACGTGTTTTCTTTTATTCTTCTTCTTCTTGTTCTTTCTTTTCGTATTGGATACTGTAGTTTCCGATGCATTCTTTTGATTTTCATCGAATATTTTCAATAATACAGGATAGATCAACCAAGCGAAACTAAATAGTCCTTGGAATCGTGTTGGTTGTTCTGTTTGTTGATCATTTGGAAACTTATTTTGTTTTTTCTTTTTATTTTTTTGATATTTATTGATATGTATTATCCACGGGTCATAAGTGATATGAAACCATGCTGATGCTTTTTTCTTGAGTTCGTCCGGTAATATTATTTCGTTATGAAATTGATATAAATCAAGCTGATTTTTCCATGTTAATTTTTTCGATATATCGGACCATTTAGCTGTTTCTTCTTGTGACTCATCCGTTAATTGATAGAACTCTTCCCAGAAGAGACGTAGATATCTAACAGAAAAAAAAACGAACATGAAGAATTTTATATATGTATATTGATCGAAATAAAAAGAAGCTGTTAGCACAATTTCTGTGGGATTAAAATGTGAAACATAATGTAATTGCTGTTGCTAATCACAGACAGATTGCTTTTTTCCTTTGATTTTAGAACACCTCTCTTCTTCATCTTTTTATTTAATCATCCAGAGTTTGCAATAAGAAATAATTCATATATTATAAAGAAACGTTATTAATCTACAGTTTCTGAAAATATTTGAAGAACATTTGTCATGGTCTGTGGGATTTGTTCCAAAATTCTACCCTATAAATTCTTCAACATTGCTTTTATACCATGAACAGGGTTGCTGATTAAAGGGAGATGGAGGTAGATGGTTTTCTCTTCTCCTTAAAATATTCAACTATCTACCAAGTTTTTACATATTCATGGGAACGTTGCACAAAACCAAGATTTTGAAACATTATTTGTCTTTCGCTAGCAGAAAGTGAAATAAAAATAAGTGGACAATGTCGTTGCAAGGTGAATAGGATTGAGGAACGACGATCTTGGGATTAGGTCGTATATGTTGTGGGAGAGATTAGATCACAGTGATTTTCGTTCTTCTCTCTCCGTCTAATCAACACTTATAGTACTTCAAGAATGAGTGCACTTTCAGCGATAATTTTTGAACTTTCTGCCATACATAAAATATTAACAGTCTTGTTTGTCTTTTACAAAAGTAATTATACTTACTTTTCTTGTATGACTCTATATGTATGTGTAATTTCATTTCGTAAATCGAAAATTTTAGTTTCTTTTGCATATTGTTTTGAAGTGAATTTAAGAATATAACCCGAAAGAACTTCAACTTCATGTTTGATACCATATTGTCGCATGATTCTTTTTATATCTCTATCATATTCACTTTTAATGATGCGAGCATCTTGCACGTATTCATCCTTTCCATTAATAATAAACGATTCATAAGGAAATACTGATGTAGCAAAGATTTCTTCTTCTTCATTAATATTCAAATTACTACTGTAATATATAACTTTATCATAGAGTTTACCCAGAATTGTTTGTGAATCATATGTTGGTTTATCGTGCTTTTCCATATAATGTGGATACTTGGTAGGACGAAGTTCATGTGTAAGGCGAGGTGCATTGACGCCTTTTTTAGCGAAATCGACGGCCACACTATATAAAATAATAGTAACAGTTTTTCAAAGAAATTAATATAGGTATGAGTGTAGCGGGAAATTAATAGACAAGTCAAAAATTTTTCTTCTTTACTATTATTACTTTAGATAAATCATATGTGATCTGATATCATATTATTTTTTTATGTGTGTATATTCAATAAATATTTTCCTGCTCAGATTTTTGCATCTGTAATTACACATGGAATATGAAAATCGATATAATATCGTTATCTAACTTTAAGTAAAAAAGAAATGAATAAGAATGGATTTAAGTTTAAAAGTTCTGATTTTTTATACATTAGTATCAGCCGCTAAATATATATATACATATCATATGGGCTATGTTTTACTGATTGGCAACATGGCTTTGCTAAATGCAAATGAATATATCTCTAGATGCTGAAGTTCTAGAGCTAATTTTTATGTTTTTAAATATATGCTGAGTTACTCTAGATAACTTGAAGGACTCAATTCTCGAGTTTGTTATTTAGACAAGTTAACTACGTAGTATTTGTGAAGTGACACGTGAAACCCCGAGATCTTGATTGAACATGTTTCTAGTTAAAAAAAAGCTGTTAGCGCAAATCCTACGGGATAAAATGTGAAACACGATGTAGCTGTTGTTACTAGTCACATGACTGTGGCTTTCTTCGATATACCGTGGGACTCATTTAATCATCATTTTTAACTTAATTCTCTAGAACTACAACAAGAAAGTAGTTGATATATTCTTATGAGACTCTAGTGATATATAATCATAGATCGTGTATCAAAAGGTCTGTCACGGTCTCTGATGGTCTCTGGAGTCCCTCTGTCACGGTCTGTGATGGTCTCTGCAGTCCATCTCTCACGTTCTGTGCTGGTCTCTGAAGTCCATCTCTCGCGGTCTGTAATGGATTCGGAGGGCATCTGTGCCAGGTCACATGCCGTCTGTCACGATCTGTGGGGGAAAGGGAGTGGGTTCAAATTTCTACCCTATATACTTCAACACTCCTTTCAGATCGTGTTTCACAATATTATTCATTCAAATAATATTTTTGAATAGTGAATGGTATGTTTAGTAGACAGCTCTTCAAGTTAACAAAATCTCCATGGAAAGTTTTTGCCTGACCATGCTTATGTTCTCAGAAAACTGAATTTACTTATTGTTAATAGCGTGACAGAATGCGAATATACAAATATAAAATAATCCTGTAATCGAACGAAGAATATCGAACTAATTCTAAATCGTACAAATCCTTCTTGTGAGATCTTAAGAGAGACTACAGAATACAAGGTTATGTTTCAAAACATGAGGATATCTATGGAGAATGAATTTTTTAGAAACATTTTTACTTATATTTGGGTGTTACTGAAAATTCCACTAACAATGTCGTTCATAGTTTGAAATCTGACAGGAAATTCTAAGATTTTTCTGTCATAATGTTAAAAATCGGTTTCCTAATTTCTTCAGAATTCAAAGAATCCACGTTTTTATGTCGGTTCTCGATTAACAAACTTGTTCAAGAGTAGACATCTAGTAAAGAATCAGAGTCTAAAGAATGATAATTATGTCTCGTTTTGACCGATATCAGGCCTATAGACTCCGTTCGTTATATAAGTCATTTGTGAATAATTAAAATAAAAATTTTTGTATTCAAATGATGTAAAAGTTGAGTGTATTTTTATTTTAACATACCTGTGCATTTTAGCTAACTGAAGGCACTTTTCATTTTTAGCACCATTTTCTAATTGATCAGCAAAAGCCAAATGACTGTTAGCAATAAGACCGAGACTAAAACAAATAATTGATGACTAATAAAGAATGAAAACTTTCTAATTTACTTGTCGGCTGCAATATATTCGCCAAAAAAGTTACAAACATCTTTAATAGTATGTTGGACAAATGTTCCTAATTGTATTTTGTTAGCTTCGTCTTCTTGATCTTGATAATCAAATGGATCTTCGTTTTTTTCAAATATTAAATCTGGATGACGACTTATCCAGAATGTATCTCCATCCAAGTCGCCACCAGACATTTCCTTAGGATGAGGACGAGGTTCTTGCATCGGAAAAACAATTACATTTTTTAATCCATACAAAGCAGGTACATCAACTGCTTTGAGTTTTCGAATATCACCTTTCAATCAAAAAAATATAAATAAATAAATATTATTTCATAAAGTAAACTATTATAATGATCATTTATGAAAATACATACCTGGATGAAAACATGGATTTCTTGTAACTATTACGGGACCTCGAATAATTTCTCTTGTTGAATTTTCTGTTTGTTGATGAGTATTATCTATTTGAATAAAAACTTCACCATAGTTAAGTGTTCGACTTTCATCAATGACTCCCAATAAAGACCATGAATTTGGTACACGAATTTTTGCTTTTGTTCGTAATTCTTTAACAAGAAATGCTTTAATAACAAAAAGAAGTTGTCGAACAAATGGATCTTTTCGTTCATGTAGCCTTTTTAAATATTCAATTAAAAATCCATGATATCCATTTCCACCGAATTCATTCAATTCTTTTAATGATTCACATGCTTTTTGCCAATTTTCTGTTAGCGCTTTTAATTGTTGTAACATATGGTCTTGCAAAGACATAAATGTTTGATCACCAATACCAAGCGATGATAAAAGAAGAATAATTTGTCGATTCAAATAGGCAACTGAAGGATTAAGTGATGTACGTACAACATCAATCGAAATATTTTCTTTTGCAGTAAACTTGTTCATAGATTTACGGAAGTGAACATATTCATCGGGATTAGTAATCTTATCAGAAACATCCACACAGACCATGCCTGTAAGAAATTATTGTATATATATATATTTTTTTTTGTTGCTTTATCTTTCAAAATTATATTTCAATAAGTTATTATGATAAAAAATATTACCTTTATAACCTCCACAACGAATTTGAAATGCGCAAGGACAAATTTTTTCAGACAATTTCATTTCTTGTGTTAATCTTTTGGCAAATTCTGGTCTAATTATACCAATACCATCTGTGAAACAATGTTCACGTCTACATTCACTAGTTGTTTCGAATCGTATGAAATCGGATATTTCTCTAATTTGACGACTTTCAAGTTGAATACCTTTGATACTTGTCGAAAATGATTGTCCTAACTAGAAAAATAATAAATTCTCATAATATTAATATAAATGTTTAACTTTATTTACACGAGCAGCTAATTTGGCTACAGGACTAACATTTTGAAATTCACCCATCCATGCACGAATAGTATTAACTGTAGTACCATCATCAGCTGCAGCAAACATCCAACAAGAATGTTCACGTAATTGTGAACTTGAAAAAGCTAAAAAGTCATAATTTCGATCACATATATTAACTCCTTTTATCAAGATTTTTTTGATACGCTCATAAATCTTAGTCATATTATCATTGTAATTACGTAATACACGATAGTCTGTGTAAAAAAAGACATTAGAATACAAAAATTTGAATTAATTTTATTAGATCAATCATTTTACCTTCATCTCGAAACGTTACACGAAGAAATCGATTTTGATGTTGTACGAAACGACGTGTAACAGCACATTTTTCTTCCCGATAGGGTCCTTCATAAAGAACTGTTGATGGTGTGATGTATATCTTACGCATTAAAAATGGATCAGCATTTGTAGTACGTAATTCAAGTTTTGTAACATAAATTCCTGTTGTTTTTGTTCTACAAAGTTCAAATCTTTTGAGTAATTGCTCAAATGCAGAAATGAGTAGACGACTAAATGTTCCAAGATGAGACTTTGTTGGTGCTGACAAAAATTTTTTCATGTCTGTCGTAATTGATGCTATTTCTATATTTTCAAAATCGACTAATTTTCCAGTAGTACATGAACGAATATTTTGAGAAATAAATGAATTATCATTATTATTCGAAAGATCTTCAGTAGTAGTTATCACTTGGTTTTCTTGTTGTTCTGTTGATTCTTCTTCATCATCTTTACAATTCCAATCTTCGTCTTCATTATCACAAGTTGTAACAAACCATCGAGGAGCAAACTCAACAATTTTATCTATAAACAATATGAAAATAAATTTTGTAAAACTGAAATAAATTTTTTTTTTCTTTTTAAATTTACCTGTTAGAGCAATTAATGTATTAATTGTACATATCTTTAAAATATGTTCAGCGTGTTCATCAACAATTAAATCATTAACTGTAATGATATGTTTTGATATAAGTTTCATAATTTCAAATTTTGTTTCAAAAGGATATGATGGCCATCGACAATTAAGAAAATTATTTACATTCACTTGATTTTGTTCTATCCATTCATCGTTAGATATTAATGAAACGGATTCGAGATTTTTTCTTGCAGCTTCTACCGTTCTAATTAACTGCATGATATTGAATTCAGAAAATTGTCGTGGTGATAAATTATAATGACGTAAAACTTTGAATAATTTTACATAATCATCACGTAAATTTAGTGAAGATAATTTAAAGATCCATGCATTGGCATGACCAATAAGTCCATAGCCAGGTAGACGATTCTCATTCGAGCCATCACATTTTGGGTGATTTTGATTTCTTATTTCTAAAATGATTGGAGGTCGTTTGATTTCAATGAGTAAAAACACTTCATTATGATTGATTAATACTGGAGTTATCTTTCGAGCTTTCAAACTACAATACAAAAAATAGTTTTAAAACAAATGATATTATTTGAAACTTTCTTTTCAATCTATTTTTAATAGGATATAAGAAAAAAAAAAATTATAAATTAATGTTCAGAATCGTTTATTGAAATCAATAGAACTTACTCTCGAAAGTTCCATTCAAATTTCAGTTGAGTAGTGACAACAGAATCATCCATCACCATCATGTCTAACTCGCCGATGATAGATAGTTTTTTCTTTTCACTATCGATATTCAATTGAAAACTTTTACATTTATCAATTAGAAGACGATGAGCAATGATGCCGAATCGGTCAATATTAGAAACAATGCCGTTTGCTGTTGGTATGTTTTGCATCGCTGTTTCTGTAATTAGTGTTCCATAATGAATATTTGTAATTTTAACACTAGTACTTGTAGCTGCACCGATGTTTGTTATCATAGTAGATAAAATAGTGCTAGCTTGTTGAGAAGATCGATTAGTACGTTTGATATCTAATTTTTTGCCGTTAAAAATAAAGGCTGCTTTGTTCCTTTCACTTATATATAGAACTTCAACCGCTATTGGAATAGAATCAAAGCGAATAAAAGCATAACGAGCACCTTTCTAAAAATAATTTATAACTTTCAGTATCAACAATAAGTAAAACCAAGTATTTATTCCTACCCTATTCTTTTTCAACTCAACATAAGTGACGCCATAGCCCTGTTTGATGAACCAATTTTTAAGATTATACCATTTCGTGTCCGAAGGTATATTACCAACATAGAGTTGAGGAGTTGATAAAGATGTTATTCCAGATTCATCAATTGTTGGATCAATTGCTACACAATATTTTCCTGTGCTTCCTATTTGGCGAGTGAGTGGTGGAGCTGTCAAATACGATTGAATAGAATCATTAAGAAATGGTATAGGTAAACTTGAATTAGTTGAACAGCAAGGTTCAGAATGCATGGCCAAACGAATAGAATAATTTTCAGGAATATCGATTAAAGGAACTTCGAATTCGTCAGATACAACTTCTCCTAATATAATATTTCCTAATGATGTAAAATGGTGAGTGTCGTCGAAATCACAATAATTGTCATAATTATTATCATCATACATGTCAATCATTCGATCATCGATAATATCATCTTTCACAGAATCATCAGATGAATTACTTTCGAATTCCGATTCGGATGTTGACATTTTTTCAACTCTTTCAGTGAATATAATACCTGATGAAAGATCTTCTTTAGAAGAATTTATTTGACAAACTTTAAACTAAAATAAATCAAGTCAGTTAAGAACTATCTAATCAAGTATTGATAAGTAATTGTTCAGATTGTTTTTAAAATCTCACCAATTAAATAGCATTTGACTATTTTGACAATTGGAGAAAAATCTATTTTTTCCCAGTGATGATGACTAATCACACACTTCAAACCTTATTTGCATTCAATCTCGTGTTGCATACATGATACTCAGCAAAATTTTTTCTTATGCATTACTTTCTAAAATTCTTTTTAATTTGAAATAAATAAACACGTTGAAAATGACTTCAAATAATAGAGAAAAAAGTATTAAAAACAGACACATATGTAGGACAGATAAACATTAATAATTGAATTTTTGAAAATAAAGAAAGAGAAACGAAAAATAAAACGATTGTTCGAACATATTTTTCTTTCTGTTAAGAAAGATAATTTTCTGTAGAAGATTTGTAATATATGTGAATATGATGTCATGAAGTAGTACAATATAAATTTTTCAACCAATGATAAATTTTTTTAAGAGATTACTTAATAATATAAATCCCATGAAAATATTCAATAAATCTTTCGGTAAGTGTCAACAATATTTATTACATTTTAAACGTATTCATTTTGTTTTTGAAAAACACTCTGTGCAAATTCATACTATATCATTTTGAATTCTTTTATTATAAGATATATTTCTGTTATTTTTTAAACGTTATTTTCGTCATATTTTTTCTATTACCCAGGTCAAACAGATACGAACGTAGACAACTATATACGGAGACTTATGATGATTGGCATGATGTCCTCATGTGATCGTATATTACCCTGTCATATACGATCTCTCTTTCTCCTCGTCGATGTTCCGTATATGAGACCATGTAATTCGGTCGTATGCGTAGAAATACAGAACATGTACGATTATTTCCGAGTATATAAAAACCCCATCTTCTTCGATGTGAGAAGAGAATAAAAATCCAAGATAAAAATCTGACATTTATATACGTCGTATGTTATCATGTATCCATATTATTCTACAAAGTTTTTTGATTGTTTTATATTGAGACAACCATGAAGTCATTAGTGTTCGACGAGCATGAAAACTTGTTTATTAGATTTTAATAGTATTTTTCTATTTTGTATATTCACTTCTCATGAATCTATCAATCTATGAATGAGATCAAGATACAAAAATAGATAAGAAATTTACAACAACAGAAAAACAACACATATTTTCTTGTAAATATAAAAAAAAGCTTTATAAAGGTCACAACATGAAATCAAGGTTATTACATCCATTGTACCGAAAAAAAGATTAACTGCGATTCTAGAGACAAAAGATGTCTTATCAAAATTATTGTAAAACTTCTGTCAAGAAAAGTTTAAGTAAAAATTGACTTCATAATTAATACTCTACATATCAAAATAAAAACAAAAGCTCAATATGATTGTCAAACATCAATATTGTCTTTATATAGAGGCTATGCTAATGATTTATCTTATTATAAATAAGTATAAAAAAAACATGATTTAGCAGATGTCGCGATTCATCACTAAATACTTTAACATTCCTCAATATCAGTCTATAAACTCTAATATTTTATTGGACGAAATACTTCATGGACTAGAGGTGTTTACCGAAGGTGAATGTGTACAATTCATTCTTTTTGTCTTGGATTCCTATCAATTATAGTACGTACATATTTCAGACCTAAATAAAAGGAGAAGAACAAAATGCCGATTGCTACTCGTTCAATTCTTCGTGTAATAAATTCAGCAATTCGAACGGTATATTCATTAACATTGATTTAAATAATGAACTTGTTTTTTTTTTTATCTATTCATAAAGAATCATCTTGTGGGCTTACAATCGAAATGTTATGCATCAACACAAACAACAGTATGTTTATTTTATTTCTTTTCTTTTTTATCATTTTAAATAATCGTTTTTTTTTTATGTTTATAGGATTTAAAGGAAGTTTTACGTGAACTTATTCCAAAAGAACAAAAACGTGTAGCTGCATTTAAAGCTGAACATAAGGATACGGTTATTGGTCAAGTCAATATTGATATGGTAAAATAAAATTTGTTTTTTTTTTTCTTAAAAATCATTTTTTATGATACATATTTAAGATTTATGGTGGCATGCGTGATATTAAAGGTCTTGTTTATGAAACATCACTATTAGATGCCAATGAAGGTATTCGTTTTCGTGGTAAAACTATCGACGACTGTCAAAGTCATTTACCAAGAGCAAAAGGTGGCGAAGAACCATTACCTGAAGGTCTCTTTTGGTTGTTAGTTACATCACAAATGCCAACTGAAGAACAAGTAATTATCTATATATAAATAATATGACAAAAAAAAATATATTAGTTTATTTGTTTTTTTTATTAAAGGTTGATTGGGTTACTCGTGAATGGAATAATCGTGCTGATATACCTCAACATGTTGTGACAATGTTAAATAATTTTCCAGCCCAACTTCATCCAATGTCACAACTTAGCGCTGCTGTTACTGTTCTTAATCTTGGTTCAAAATTTGCAAAAGCTTATTCGGATAATGTACCGAAATCGAAATATTGGGAGGTTTGTATATAATTTTAAAAAAATTTTGGTTACAAGAATTTTTTTTATTTTTTTATTTCTGTAGTATACTTATGAAGATGCCATGGATTTAATTGCTAAATTACCAACAATTGCTGCTATTATCTATCGAAATTTATATCGTGATGGTACAGCTGTTGGTGCTATTGATTCAAAAAAAGATTGGACATGGAATTTTGCAACTATGTTAGGTTATGACAATAAATATTTTGTTGATTTACTTCGACTCTATTTAACAATTCATAGGTAAGGATTAGTAATGAGCAAGACTAGTAATTTTTGGTCTGGATCAAAAAAATACGTTGTCCTAGTCTCAATCTCGATAAAAAAAAATAGATCTAATCTCGAGACTGGGATCATCCTGCCCATATGTAGTAAAGCTAAAATATATTAAAGATATTTATAATATATATTTGTTTTCTTTGTGCGAATATTTAGTGATCATGAAGGTGGTAATGTAAGTGCACATACAAGTCATCTTGTTGGTAGTGCTCTTTCGGATCCATATTTATCATTTGCTGCTGCTATGAATGGTCTTGCTGGTCCACTTCATGGTCTTGCAAATCAAGAAGTATTAATTTGGATAACAAAATTAGTTGAAAAGCTAGGTGAAACGCCAACTGATGAACAAATTAAACAATATGTTCTTGATACACTTAAAACAAGTGTTGTACCTGGTTTTGGACACGCTGTTTTACGTAAAACTGATCCACGTTATACATGTCAACGTGATTTTGCTCTTAAACATCTACCAAATGATAATATGTTTAAAATTGTTTCACAACTCTTTAAAGTTGTACCACCAATACTTGGTGACATTGGTAAAATTAAAAACCCATGGCCAAATGTTGATGCACATTCAGGTGTTCTTCTTCGAGTAAGTTTATTATTGTATTATGTAAATATTTTATATTATTGATGGGTTCTGTTTTTTTTTATTATTAGTATTTTGGTATGAAAGAAATGAGTTTTTATACTGTTTTATTCGGTGTTTCACGGGCACTTGGTGTACTTTCTCAAATGATATGGTCACGAGCTTTAGGATTTCCATTGGAACGACCCAAATCAGAAACAACTGACAGTCTTATGGCTCTTGTAGCTTCAAAAAAGAAAGCTGCTGCTGCTGATGCCACTCCTAGAGCAAAAGCTTAGACAGCTCTAAATAAACTTAGACTTGAAAAATAAATTCGACCAAAATATGCGCATGTGTGTTTGTGTGTGTGTTATCATACAGAACCAATATATTTATTTTTCATTCTCGCCACATCTTTTTCCTCTTGAATACCATGGATTATATAAACTTTTCATTACTACAAATAGTTATTCATTCTTTTTGGTCGTATTGCTATTTCTTTAGATTCAATAAAAAAACCTCAAAAAAAATATGGAAAAATAAAAAAAATTCTTTTATTTTAACTTCATCAATTATTTAACATAAAATCAAGTAATACATAATAATAGATTAATTCTTCGAATATCAGTAATAATGATAGTAAAGAATTTACCGATCGAAATAAATATAAGTGAAGTATGTCATTGAATTTTTGATATTATCTATATTCAATTATAATAATGAAAATAACGTACTATGTAAAAGTAATAGCATAAACGTTTATCTTCATATTTTCTTTTTCCTAGACATTATTCTCGAAAGAAAATATTTTTAAGCAGCTGATAGGAAATTTTCTCTTCTTTCGAACTATATATAACTTATTTTTATTAGACATACATAGAACAGAACGAGAAACAATATAGATATCCTAAAAATAATTTTGTACTTTTTGTATATACTGCACAATAACGACGTAAAATGTCGACTACTTTACTTTTGCTTTAAGCACATGTCTACAACGATAACTTTTTTATTTGTTGCTAGAAAATTTTCTTCTCTTTCGAATATTGTCTGATTGATTTTTTTTGTCTCGCATTCTTAAATGAAAACAGACAAGCAAAAAAAAAGAGAAACATTTGCACAATATATTTTAAGTCGTTATTTTGAACTCATCAATGGTCTCAATTTAATAGATGTTGTAAAGTGACAGATAATTTGTTTCTCTTTTCTGTTGCATAGAGATCTTATAAAAATAAGTTATATGCAATCCAAAAGAGTAGAAAAAGTTCTATGTTTTAGTCAAAAAGATTTTCTTTCAATATTCTCTTTTATCCAAGAGAAATGGAGAACAACATTTTGTGACATTACATTGTGCATCATTTGTTAGATGTAATTGATATGTAACATGCATGCAAGATGCTACGATATTTGATTCCAATGACGTATTATTATGTAGATCTCAAAGAAAATCATTTTGAATATATAATCGATTCATTTCCTTATTTATTAAATAGATTTGTGTTTGAGTGAAAACAATGTGTATTTACTAACTCTTTGATGTATTATATTCTTATTTGAGAGAATGCCATTATATTTTCTGCTTTGCTAATCAGCGTTCGAAGCTGAAAAGATGAGTATTTGTCAATTATACAAGTTGGTTTTGATTCGATTTTGTTGAATAATCTAGCTTTTATTAGACAAATTATCAAGCGATGTTTTCTCTATGACTATGTCGTCACTTTTGCTAAACGTCCTAGAATAAAAGGTCGTCCATAAGAAAAATTTCACAAAATATAATAGAATGATATGGATTTTCCAAAAGCTTTTTGTTTCGAAAATCCATTGAAAAAATATGAATCTCCAATAATTGAAGGCCATAATTTTTTTATTCTGAGAGGATGGGGCGAAGTAGGGGAGCGTATTTAATTGTTATTTGATGAAATGGTAACGTCGAATTGATAACTTTGACATTTATCGATGTTGAATGATGTTAAGATAAGGCTAACCTATCGTTAGTTGATTGGTCTATGTGTGTCCTATATTGATAAAAATAATTCATTTGTTGTTTGAATTTGTTTCATATAATGTTCAGACTCTGAATTATATAGTATCACTAATAAAGTTGTACTAAAAATAATTATAGATATTCAAGTAAATTTATAAGATCGTTACTTGATCATCATTTGATATAATTAAACTAGTACTGCTCACATAAATACCATTATTTATATTTAAAATTTTCTTAAAAGGTACTAATGGAATATTTTCATTATTAGAATTAAAATAGTCTTGTGCATATTTTTTCGTAGGATTTATCGGTCTGCATTGTTCATGATTACTCATTAATGTATGATTTAATTGTTCATAATGAGTTGTATTTGATACATTATTTTTATGCATACGATAAGCTTCAGCTGCAACAGCAGCAATATGTGGTGCAGTTATACGTCGTACTGTGACTCGATACGAAGAAGGATTAAACATTGTTTGCTTTTTCTTACTCTTTTTGAAATAAGAATGTTTATTAAATGAAGAATTATAGATTAAAGGCATACAAGACCATGGTTGAGCTGTCATCGATGGCTTGAAATGATTTCCAGAAATTATGTTTGATGAATGAGAGCATGAATATGCAGATGGATACGTATATGATGTTTGTTGATAAAAATCTTAAAAGAAAAAAAAAAATTAATACAATATTTTATACAATTTGATAATATTGACATAAGTATACCTGCTAGAAAACAAATACCATTACATTTTGTCCTTGATTTAGGTGTGTCAATAGTATGAGTACAAGTGAAATTTTTATTATTTTGAGTGTTGATTGAATTATAATGGCATGATGAGTTGAAATTATCTTGATACATTTCGTATGTTATTTTAATGTTTGAAAAATTCTTTAAATGAATTTGATTTATAGTTACATTTTGATATTCTAATATCGTTTCGATATTAATTACATAAACAAAAACAAAAGATACAATTATTCGTTTTCTTGGTTACGCTAATTTTTTTTTTAATGTCTTTATATTTTTACAAAAATTATTAAATCGTAAAAAAAAACAAAGTGAATTACATTATATTTACAAATATTTTATCATAGAAAAGCAAAACTTCAAATATAAAAATAATGTCATTTTAAGTTTTTGGACGAATATTAAAAACACCTAGAACATTTTGATTTTTACTATTAATAATTTGATCACTCGGTTCAACAAGGATAGTATTAGGATTTGTTGAATCAACTTGTCATTATAATGGATCGTTGACAGTAATATTATAATTTGATTTTTGATACTGTAGAAATGATACTAACATTTTCGTCAGTTGTTTTAATAAATTGCCTTGTTTGTGGTTTATCAGCAATAGCACGAGCATATACACGTGATAACAGTTCTATTGATGTTTAATCATAATAAAATCTCCCTAAAATTCCCATACTTGTAAAAATGCATTAGCCGCACCTAAATCTAAACCAAATTGTTCATCACATGATGGTGAATTATTACATCCATTGAATTCAGTTAAAAATGCTAAACCACCTATTGTGCAAGATCAATATGAACCAAACGAACCAGTGCTGGTTCTTCAATAGCATCACAAAGTACTCGATCAAATAGTGGTATTGTATTATTGCCTGATACAGGTACAATAGATAAAATTGTACAATAATAATAATGATAAGAAAGAATACTTCAATTACGATAATCATTATCACTAAGTACATGAGTAAATCCAATATCAAAATCTTTACCATTTATTCGAAAAAAATAAGAGTATCATCATCGACTGAACGACTAGCTTTAGTCTTTTTTTCGTAAAATGGTTGTAAATTTGTAGCTCCAGCAATATCTTGTAAAAGTAAAAATGGATTCTCTACATCATTTTGCAGCTCATAGTTCATTGATAATTTCATATCTGAATACAAGCAAAAAAATAACAAAACTACGACAGATAGTTGATCAGAAATATGAAATAGCTGTTCACTGTAGAGCATTCGAATATTTTTTTTACAAATTGAAGCTGCCAAATAAGTTATTTATATATAATACAATCAATTTTGGTAGATTTTCAACAAAATTTTGGTTTAAGGAAATTCTCTGAATAGAAAATTAGCACCATGATCAATTCGTACATGATCTGATTCATCAATAACAAATGTATGATTAACATGAACATTAGCCGAACCAACAGAATTTGTAATAAATAAAGAAAAATAACTCAATAACGATACACCTAATTATTCCATTTCGAAAGCTAGATAATGCCAATATATATCTGACGTGTTTGTTTCTTTTTTAATATTGAAGATAAAAGCATAAAGTGCGCTACCTAGTTTTTCTTGTCTATTTTACCAAAACAAAGATCTCCTTGACAATATATTGAAGAAATTTTTTATTTTCTTATATTTTCTTATTGGTGTCTTTTTTTTAAAAATTCAATATGATTAAATAAGAAAATTTAATATGAATTCAATAAAAAAACATTCTATTCAACAGAATCCTGAAGATGATTTACAATCTGAATCAACAATTCAAATTGAATTTAGTGAATCTATTGTAGAAAGATTTTCGACAACAAATGATAATAAGAAAAATTCTTCTTCATCATTTCAACGATATTTATCCAGAAAAAGATGTTCATCTAGAGAAAGTCAACGAACAATAAATGAAGAAGACAATATGAATAAGAAACAACGAAATCATACTGATCATTTAGCTTTTTCTGAAAATGCTCGAAAAGAACAAATTATTTCGTTATCAGAATCAAATGAATCGCAATGTGCTCGAACTAATTTACAATCCAAAAATGGTAAGATCATATTTCAACGAAGAAAAAACAATCATTTGATTCATCATTGTCTTGTAATATAATATCAGGTCCCTAGCAAATATACTGAGCTCAAAGTATACTGCTACTAGTATGTCACAGGAACCATTGAGTACTTTATAACTTTGTAGTACTTGACTACAAAATATTTCTAAATATTCAATCTAATAATTTATTGAAAAATTTTTCATAGAACGCTATAGAAACTAAGCAAATACTTGGTAAATATACATATGTTGACGAGGAAATATATCTAACTGTAGGACACTGTTTGTCTTCATATTGTGGCTAAGCGTCGGATCTTGGTGGGACTAAGGAAATCCTGAAAGGATTCGAGTCAATGTTCTTCTGATGAAATTTTTATTGAGAGCATGCCATTTTCGAAAAATTCAAAACCACTAATGAATGACCCTACAGAGGCTTTGTCTAGATATCATTTCTTTTGCAACAAAGACATTATTTGATTTGCTTTAGATTTATTATCTAAATGTCTACTTTGTCTTAGAGTTTATTTGTAAAAAATCTGTGAGTGTTCAAAATGATAGCGAAAAGCATTTTAATTGGTTGAAAGACTTTATGCGACAATCTGTGGATACTATACGTGATACTGTTGTACAAGCTTGTCTAACAGCTATATCTGCTCGACCAATAATTTCATTGAATTCAAATATTCCTACACAAGATCATAATGTAAATAATCATTTAACTGATCTTATTCAAAGTGAACATTCTCTAAGATTACAAAATACAATTGATCATTGGCAAAATTATCAATTACAAATTCCATCTGTAATACGAAAGAAAAATAATTCTTTATTATATCATCATAGATTAGATAATGATCATAATGATGATATTAATAGAAAACAACGAATTCATCATCGAGCACGTACAAGTTCGTATCCAATGTATAAAAATGTATTACGAACATTAGTTAATGATATTCAAGTACCATGGTCATATGAATGGCCACAATATAAACCGACTATATTTACTGCTGACGAAGTCTATATCAATCCAGGTGCAGATCCTGGTATAAATAAAATTAAAAAAGAAAAAACAAATAATTTTCATGAATTTTAAAAATTTTTTAGATCTACTCAAATCATCATCATCAATATCTCTTCATTTTAATACAATTGATGGTGCTGTCGATCGTCGTAGTGTTTATCAACATTATCATATACGTGAACATGATGGTCTTCCATTAAATCCAATCGGTCGTACTGGTTTACAAGGACGTGGTATACTTCTTCGATGGGGACCAAATATATATCATTATATAATGATATGTCGATGGAAACGGGATATTTATGGAAATAATCTTTTACATGCATCGAATGGAAAAAGAATTCTCGAAATTCTTTTAGAAATACAAACTGATGGTTATGCAACGCATGATTTTATTTTAACTGGTGGTTTACGTATGATAGGTAGTCGATTTCCACCTCAATTACAAGATCGTTTAAAACGTTTTATTATTCATACAGGTTAGATTAAATTTATGAGCAATCGGAAAGTTTTTAGACAAGATGTTTGATGATTTTGACTTGCTTGAAAGCATTTCAGACGAGCTAAAATTCTTTTAGAGCTGTCACTTCTCTACAAAATGTGCTATTAAACTAAAGTGTAGTTTTTACTCAAATGAGGTAAGAGGTATTTTTTCAAGAGTTCCTGTCAATTTAAGATGGTTGTCAAATTTTTGAAAAAAATGAGTATTTAGGAAAAAACAAAAAATTGATGTACCTTGTGGAAAGACAAGAAAACTCAAACAGTGCATTTTGTAGGATAGTTTTTGATAATAAAAACTGTTGTATAAATGAAGATCTCAACTTTTAATTTCGAATCACAATAGTGAAAATAGAAAAAAATTTCCGTCCAAACTAATTTTTTTGAGGTTCTCAAAGATTAGTTTATTACTTTGAACACAAAATTCTGATCCTAACTGATACATTTTAATATTTTCTAGCACGTCAAAAATGAATAAATATCTTGTCTAACCATTTTTTGAAAAATTGATTATGAATGAAATTGTTTTCTTATGATTTCAATATCATATTAGGTACAATATTAAATAATAGATACAAAATTTCATCAACTCTCAATGCATTAAATCATTTATTTGAACAAAATCCTATACCATGGAAAGGTGCTTATTTTGATGATGCTCGTAATACAGATAATGCTTGGATTGAATTATCAATTGAATATTTATTAGATGATGATCATCAATTAACATCATGTATACCATATCTTCATAATCAACAACTTCAATATCTTGAACAACCACGTTTTATTTGGAAAGATGTCGAAAATACAATTGATATTGGACCACGAACTCATTATCGTCTTATAAGAAATTTAGCTTATAAACTCGATGCATATTTTTGAAGAAAAAGAAAAAGGAGATACTTTTTTTTTAATATCACTAACTTTTAATTTTACAGATGTAATTTTTAAATTTTAATAAAAAATTGCAATTAAACAAAAAAAAAAAAGAACCAGAAAAGAAAATCTAATGTTTCATTTGATATCATCATATTTTCCTCCACGTCCTTGTTTATTTTCAACAAAATGTTTTGCACCTGATATCGATTCACGTTCAATTAATTTTATTCCATGTTCATATTCATGTTTAAGACTATTATCAATTGTATTCGATACAGAAAAATATGCTGACATTCGATCAGTATTCATACATTCATATGGAAATCGAAGTATATCTTTTGCAAGTTGAATTGCTTCTGATAAACATTGACCATCAGGTACAAGACGATTAATTAATCCAATATGAAATGCTTCTTGAGCATTTACAGTTCGACCTGTTAAAATTAAATCAAGTGCTCGTGAAAGACCAATCAAATGTGGTAAACGAACAGTACCACCATCAATAAGTGGAACACCAAAACGACGACATAATACACCATATTTTGATGATTGTTCACCAACACGCATATCAGCTAGAAGTGATAATTCTAGACCACCAGCAACACATGGTCCAGCAATAGCAGCTATTAATGGTTTTTTTAAATTCATGCGACTTGGTCCCATTGGTCCAGGTTTATCTTTTTCATAATTCATTGAAAATGAAATATTTGCTGAAGCAACTTCACTTAAATCATAACCAGCACAAAATGCTGAACCACCTTCACCATATAAAATAGCTAAACGAACTGAATCATCTTTTTCAAATTGTTGGAATGCTGAAAAAAGTTGTAGGCCTGTAGAATGATTAACACAATTTCTTTTCGATGGACGATTTATTCCAATAAGACGTATTGATGGTGTATCATCAACATGACTAATCTTAATAGTAGTTGTATTTGATGATGAATGACGAATATTAGATATTATAGTATTAAATTTCCGATAAATATATGATGAACATAATATTCGATGAGTATACATTTTCTAATAAATTTTATTTGTAGAATTTCTTAAACAAAATAATAAAGAAAGAAAACAAAGAAAATAGTCAATCTGATTTTATTTTCATTTTTTTTTTCTAAATAATTACATAGAATAAAAGTCAAAAACAAAAAACAAAGATCGATCTCGGTTCTTTTCTTATTTTGTATACAAAGAATATTACAACAATAGTTAAGACAACAAAAATAAATCATCAAACAAAGAAACTCTCTTAGTTATAAAATACAAAATGCAATAATCATTTTTGAAATATTTTTAATGTTTGATTAAATCCTCGTATTTCTTCATCAGTAGCTGTTTGAAAAAATGGTGAAACACCTTGTTGTGCAGCAGTTAACGTATCACCAAGTGTTTCATCTAATATATTATTGGCACTTGCTGGTAATTCGTTAGTATGCTGCCGCCAGTGAGATGCTTGAGATGGTGGTATTGATGAATAACCCATTCCTCGTCGATCAGTTGGTGCATTAGCCCAATGACCATCATTAAAAACGTCATGACGTTGTCGTTTCATTGGTGGACCACCACCACCACGAGTATCATAATCAGATGGTACACTATTTCGAGAATAATCGTCGAGTATTGAAGGTACTCCATGTGAAAAGCTTGCTGGTGGCGGAGGTGCCTGAGACTAGAATTTTATATCATCGGATATGAAACAAAAATATTATAAATACATTAAATGCTTACATAAAAAGGATCATCTTGCTCCATCGAACCTAAAATAAATTCACATAATCTTTTGAATGGTAGAAACTACGCATGAAATTTATGAAAAAGACTTCCTCGTGAATAATTAAGAACCTCTACGTTCTTCTGCTCACTTTTCTATATTTTTGAACAAGAGTTTATTAGAAAATTTTGAAACTTTCTGAGTAGAACAAAAGATGTTCGAAACTGAACAATCTTTAAATGCTTTCTTTTTTGGCAAGATCAAGATCGAAAAAGTCAAAACTCATCTCCTAATTGCTCCGCTTTATTATGAGGAAACTTGGTTTTTCGGATCTTCGCTCTTGAAATATCGAAATTCTAGTTTCGGATTTCGGCTTCAAACTCTGTACCACGAAATTTCCCAGCGAGATTAGTTCATTGCAACAAGTTGTAACATTTCTAATATCTTCTATCTTGCAATATGAAATATTCGAAATTCTTCCATATGGCAAAATTAAATTTTATTCACATATTTACACATTCGGCAAGAAAATACTAAAAAAAAGCTAACACTTGCAGACTCAACTAATCTCACCAAGACTTTTGTTCACGTAAATCTTAAAGTTAAAACTCGAAAATCGACTTGTCACGTGATTTGAGGGAAACCACAGCTTTTTTTGTTGAAAAAGTCAATGAAATTTCGATATCTCGAGAACGAAGGTCCAAAATACCAAACTACTTCAGACTTTTCTATTATTCTCTAGCATTTATCAACTAAACATCGTCTTGGCCAAAAAGCGATTTGACATTTGGAGAGGTTCTTTCATCATTTACAATATTTCTGATGGAATTGAAATACGTTTTGTTATAGACCCTTCCATTTGGACCAATAGATCAAAATACTAAGCGTATCTCTAACAAAAAAAAACATGTTTGAAATACAAACAAAGTAGACACCCTATACACTTTCTACTATAAGTGGAAGAAAATTTCAGTTCAATCAGATGTACTGTGGTTAAGAAACAGGGTGACGAGATTCTCAATTGTATTTTGTCAAGAAACTCATCTTTCAAAAACAGCGAAATAATGTTCTCGTGGTAATGTTTATCGACAAAAATTTTCCATTCTTTTCGGTTTGTGAACTTTTATAATTATATGTTATTTATTGAACAACGCTCGATAGATAAAGGAGACTTCGAAGCGGAAAAAAAGAGTAGATCAAAATGAAAAATCTAAATATTTTCGGTTAGTGAAGAAAGGAGATTCTCGTACTATTTTTTCAATATAAAACTGAATCAATGTTTAATCAAAAGAAATCTGCTCACACAAGCAGACAAGATTTTATAATTTTTAACGCTCAATGCTCCTTACACAAATATAATTTCTCGGAATACATTGCTGACGATGTGAAGTCACAGATTAGACTGCTTAAATGTTTGATTTAGTTATGTTCTTGACAGTACCATGCTGTGTTTTTAAAAATAAGTCTTATGAGTTAATATCGCATGCATATCTTAACAACATTTTTCCTACTGTGATAAGAGTACATTTTGATGTCTCATAAAAAACGCAATAAACGTTGATTTTATGTCCAGAAAGAATAAATTGTAGATTTATAATCAGGGGACTTATTTATAAAACAAAGAATGATAAAAAGAGTATATTCACTTACGGAACAGTTAATAAAGGAAATGGTTAAAGTGAAAAAATACCTCATTTTATACTTTCTTCTCATTCTTCAAATTTCTGATCATAGCGACAACATGAGCAAGATGTGCAACTAAAACTATTTTCTATATTCAATCTTTCTCCAATTTATTTTTTTTATTCAGGACCCACGCTCATAGACTTTTACTCGTCTATATACCTTTTTCTCTTATATTCATATTTATGATAATCAGCTGTGGAAGTGAGAAAAAAAGAGAAAACAATTCCACGAGTACAGTTTGTGTTTGAATTTAAATCTCTTTTCTTGCTCTTGTACTTGAAATGGGCTCTTCTTCAGTTATAGTGAAAAGCCTATAACAAACATGAAACTTGATGCTTAGTCACGTGTCTTTTTCGAAATGATTAACGTAACTCTTATTCTCAATTTGACTATTTTTTTTTTTATGTAATATCTTCTACGTTGTTTGTTTTTTATTTTTAAACTTAGCGAAACATCTTTTCTAAGGCTTCTTTTTTTGTTTTGATAAACAAATCAATAAAGAAATAGATAGGATACATAGACATTTATATAAATAAAAGATATATAAATAAATCGACAAATAGATAAGGATGCTAGTATAAGGATAGCTAAATAGATTTACCCAAACAATGTACAATGTATCGAATAAAAAAATATGGAAGAAAAACATTGTTATCTATCTTTACCATGGATTTGACTTATTTGCTTTGGTGATATTTTCATGGTTTGACATTTTATCTGTCAATCAAATTTATGTTTAGCAACTATCTAGTTAAATAATTACACAGTTGAAAGGGATCATCAAACATTCAATGAAATAGATATCTAGAGAAAAATTTAGATAGATAGTTAATGTTTACTGTAGAGTCAATTGGCGGCGAGCATTTTCTGAACAATTGTAAAACACCAAGAATTAACGGTTTATGATTTCTCACTTATGTCTACAATCGACAGAAAACTATGTTACTTTCCTTATGGGAAACACAGGGAACTGTACAGATGATTTCGATATGACCCGGATAAAAAATATATTTCCCGTGGCAATATAATGTTTAGAAAGATTTCTTATAGTTTCAAATTTTGAAAAATCATAATGAATGGTTTCTAATCATGTCTTTATAGTCTCTTGGACGAGTATAATTATCCATCTCTGTCTTATGTTGTTTGCTAGAGAAGATGGTAATCTTTCTAATTACAATGTGATACTAGTAAACTCATTTTATTTAGATTGGATATTGATCATCTTGAAAACTGATCATGCGTCAAATACAAAAAGGAAGAGAATTTTAATTAAGTAGACGTATGGATGGATAATAAGTTAAGTAGGTAGTTACGTTTTTAAACATATAGTCAATAAATAGATAGGTAGTTATAAAGATCGTTAAAATTAGCTAGTTAGGTAGATGATTAGTTAGATAGATTACTATATGTGCTTGTTTATAAGTTAATGAGTAAAGTGATAGACCTATTTATCTGTATATCAATTATTGATATTATATGAATGGCTTAGACGGTAAAAAAATATCATGAGTAAAAATATCCCGACAATCTGATTATCTTAAGATGTTAATTGTGGTTCTCGGTTATAAGATAGTTCGAATTTCGGTGAAGTAGTTTCACGTGT